GTGCCCTAGAGAAAGTAGTACCCGCGGTCCATATCACTCCGCTATTTTTCCTCGGCAAGAAATGTGCTCCGCGTTTTGAGAATATAGTTCCATATGTTTTTGTAATTTGAAGTGGTTTCCGCGCCTAAAAAAAATGCTTAAAAGGTATTTTCTTGTTTATTAAGATCGTAGGAAGGTTTTAAAAACGTTTAAAAGAAAAGTCCAGAAAGTTCAGAAATACCGAAACTATAAACACGAAATGACAGGTTAAATCGTAGTTATAATAGTCAATCAGCTGCTCATAGTATAATTATCTTTAAGTGTTGCCAACCTATTTCCAAGCGTACACGGATTACGTGCATAATGGAATCAAGCTGTTTTGTGTTGTTTCGTTGGAATCCTGTTGTGCGGCAAAGTATAAACCGTACGGCAAAATATAAACCGTACGGCAAAGTATAAATATGCAGCAATTAGCAGCTTTCTGTACTATAAACAGTACAAGGAAGCCAACTTTGTCGGGTGACTGTAGGAAAAATTCATTTACCCACTTCTATGTATTATTACTGTCCCCCAAATTCTTTTAACAGGTCTTTTTCAGAATTTTTGTTATAATACAGTAATTGAATAAGAGTGGAAAATTTAAATAAATGTTAAGCAACACTGAATTTCCTGATTTCATGTTATGTGAACTGATAAATAGTATAATAACTAATTTATACAAAAGGCATTATTTTTTTATTCAAGCTCAACTAATTTCACTAAAAAACGCACTTCATTACCCGTAACTTCCTTGTAGCAGCAAACCTAAGTCATGTTATTTAAATAGGAAATAAGAAAATCTATCATTATAAGTGTATCTGAAATATCTTAGTGAAAATCCAATCGGGCAAATAGAAATTTGTTTATGCTGCAGGGGGTATTTTCTCTTTGCATCACATTTCATTTTAAACTGAGCCACAACCATATGCACCTTAATATGAGGATGCTTGATAAACTTAACTCATTATTTCTGTGTAGTCCTATATAGTGTAAAAAGAAGATGCTGCACCCCATGGTGAAAAATATTGAAGAATAGCATAGAATTTCTGCAATAACAAAGGCAACAAAAAAGGAACATAAAAATAAAATAGTTTTCATCACTCTTCGAAAATTGTCAATTTCCATACACCAAAAAACAAATAGTGATCAGCTGACTTTTCCTGACATAAACATTACTTTCGCTGTACAAACAATACTTTGCCTGACATTAACAAAGTTACAACTGAAGATTTAATTTTTTTAAGTTTGATGAAGTAGTTTGTTTCATTGTAATGAAAAGTATTGTTCAATACTCGTCACGAAAGTCCCATTTCGGGGCTCGTCTTCGACTCGCATGTAAAACGCTATCTCACTCCAAAATGCTTTTGTGACTAGTGGTGAATTATACTATTTCTTGTTCTTGCCCCTAGAAAAATAAATATACATAAAAAAAAAACTAGTTTCCTTACTTACGTTATAAGGCATATTGTAAAATGCCAATAATTACTCGTACAATTTTGTGGTATATTTCCTTGATGAACTGAGAGTAAGAGATGAAGCAGACTTACCAGGATTATTGCTGTTTTCCTCATTTGTTTCATGTAAGCACAATGCTCAATAAGAGCTCATATATTAAACGAACAGGAAACATGCTATTTCTTCCTAGCTATTTTCAGCAGCTCTATTAGTACGGTGCAACTAGCTAAAAAGACGTAAATCATCCAAAGTCATAGCTAAATTTTGACTCCAAACCGTTCAATGACTTTACTACCATGTAATGTATGGTAAAAAGTTACACCATTTTAAGCCAGGTTTGGTGGCGAGGGGGGGTGGGTTTGAAATTTAAAAGATGTTGGTTTTTTTTTTTTTTTGGGGGGGGGGGGTTCTGCGACATGAGCTTTGGGGGGGATGGACACCCCTGGCAAAAAGTACTTTTTAGCGAATTTCCCATATGGGGAATAAGCTATTACCCTCATGGTAACTCATGGTAAGACCTGGACCGGAGACAGATTTACTTTTTTTGTTTTGAGGTCCCTAGAGGCCAAAAACACCATACGTTCAAATTCATATATGTATGTGTGTCCGTTAGCACGATAACTTGAGCAAAAATGATCCGATTATGATGAAATTTGGTACAAACGAGTAAACCTACGTTTATTTGAACCAGCAGTTTGCGAACCAGCATGATCGGATAATGGGAACGGGGGTTTTAGGGGGGTTTTATAGGGTAAAAATATGTTTTTCTCATTTTTGACGCTAAAAAAAATTAAATTTTTCAATTTATTTCCAAACTATTTTGTAGAGCTTAAAAAAAACAAATAATTTAGTATATTTATCATGCGCCTAATGGTTACGGAGAAAATTTCAATTAAAAATTCCCACGTTATTCTTATGGAGAATAAGTTAACGTTTGTAATTTGCTTGTTTATGAACATATTTTGATAGAGTTTGGAAAATGTATTTATTTCACACTGAACTATTTACATTTCACCCACAAAAAAAACTTGTTTACCCTCCTTGTTGCAGCAAACCTAATTACTTGTTAAACCAATGCTATTTAAATAGGGAACAAATAAATGTGATATTTTTAAGGAGGTACTTTAGAGTAAATCCAATCAGGCAAATGGAAATTCGCTTAGTCTGCAGGTTTGCTGCGGCGGGGTATTTAAGAAATTAAGATATAGTTGAGATTGTTGTTAAAAGCGAGAAATGCAAATTATCTTAACAGTTAACTATGCTTAATGAGATTCAGTTGATGTATTTTTGTCCAATAACATCATTAGAGCTTGGCCAAGAATTCACAGCTGACCCCTCACAAATAGACCATCACACCAGCAGTTCCTTCTCTAATAGTTTGTTTACTAAACTAACGTTTCTCCTTCTTACACCTTCATTTTTTCTCCGAGCGCGGGATTTCAGTCTACTTAGAGAAATATTATTCTTAAGACTGAGATGTTTGTATTTCTTTTAATTTATTTTTCTTGAATAATGCGTAGACTATTTGAATTTAAGATTTTTGTGAAATTGAAGTGTTTCTTAACATATTCCTACCCTAATTCTTATCTCATTTTAAGTTTCCCAAATTATGATTTTACTAAAAAACATAGCTTTTGGCAAACCTATTTCTTTACTAAACTCAATAAAAGTGAAAATAAAAACTCTATTATTACAAAAATTAATTGATAGTACAAACAGTTTTTGACCTCCTACAAATCTTTGGGAGCTAAACTCTCTAAGTCCTTATATTATCAACTCTTATTCAACCCTGGCTCTTCCACTAAGTAGTAATTATTGGTAATGAGAACTAAATTTTAATAATCACACAAAAGCTGAACCATATTTTGATAATGAATGTGAAGAGTTTTCTTGTTTTGCCTTCATCCTTCTATTCCGCAACATGGAACGCTCTGAGAAAAAGCTAAATAACAAAATTAACTAAGCTATGATAAGTTTTAGAATTTCAATAAATAAGATTCTTATTGTCGCTCCTAAAATTTTCAAAATCTATGAGAGAGCCATTCACAAAACGCTATTGGAATATTTAGAAGCAAAGGGTTTGTTAGACGAATCTCAGCGTGGTTTCCGCAAAGGGAGATCAACTGAGACTGCAACAGCAGAATTTGTTGAAACCATTTAAAATTCAATAGATGAAGGTGAAATATGCATCGGCAAATTATGGACCTTGAATGGTTATTTGTGTAACTAGTGGGCGAAGTCGCACTCGTGTTACACATTGTATTTATTTTCCCTACAGTTACTATAAATCATATAAATAATTAGTAGTGATAAAAAACATTTGATAGTGTTTGCCACAGTAAGTTGTTGGAAATTCTAAAGAATGTGAGAATTAACAATTTTGCTTACTATTTGGTTTCAATCATATAAAAAAACAGAGCTCAATATGTAGAAATATCACTCTTATGAAAACATAACATAAAAAAATCAAAAATGGTCTAGCTAAAGGGTCAATTTTGGGTCGCCTAAGCCACGTTTACACGAGACCAGTTGGCGGGCAGGTTACTTGCCTCAGGTGACTTAAAAACATTAGAGGCAAGTAACCTGCCCCGTTACCTGCCTGCTCTACTGCCTCATATAATCACGACTTTGCTGTTCATAATCTACTTGGTTTGAACCTAACTCTAGTAAATCAAAAGGAGAGCAAAATAATTCTTTATGCAGATGATTAAAACTTAACAAACAGATACGAAACAAAAGTATCATTATCATTGACTGTGGAACAATTTTGCAAATTTCAATGATATTTGTAGTCTTGCTGGATTCACCACCATTCTTGGATATATTGCTAACTTTAATGATGTTCGCGACATCATTATTTGATTCTAGTAATTTGTGATAGCATCGCTAGCTTTGACGACCGCGGCAACAAAGTTGTACTAATATTGAAGAAATTAAATAATTCCTTTATTTAATTTTAAATAGACACATTTTTTAAATAGAGGGACCATACTTTACATGAAGCGAAGAAGAAGATTGAAGAACTTACAAAATGAAAATAATCATGATTCAATTTGCAATACTTACGACTAAAATAGTTTTTTTTTTCTATAATACTCTTTTTGTGGAGAACAGATATTTTTGTACGTATGTTATTTATTATAAGAGATTTGTTACAATTCCTAGTACAATTTTTTATTTCAAAAGCTTAACAATTATTCTAGAGACAAGTGACCCTACACTGTCAAATTTTCTGGAAGAAAATCATGGCAGTTAGACAGACCACAAATTACTTTAGAAGCATTTCATATTAACATTTTTTGTGGGGAAGAGCCTTTTCGCCCACCCTTGCTTGCCCCCTTTAAAACAAATTTCCTGCAGTTAACCTTTAACTGATTAGCCTTCAAAGAAGCCTTTAATTCATAGGCTAAAATGTTTAAACTTAATTAATAAAACAGCAATTGTGTTACAAAACTATTTATTTTAACTACTAAACTGTAACTGAAAGACATAATATGTAAAACTAAAAATATATTTACAGACCTACACAGAATATCACCATGCTCCCAGATTGAAGTATTTGAAGAGTACAAAATGTTTTGTGAGAGTTAAATGTTGATTTTTATACAAAAACTATAAAAATTGTCATAAATGAATAAATAATAAATGAAAGAAAATTCTTAAAAAAACAACAAATACAAATGGAAAGATGATAGACAGACAGGCATACAACAATGAACAGAATCTTATAAGGTAACAAGCAGAAAACAGGCTAGAAAGAACAATAACTTGAATGTTTTTTATATAGCCTATGCCTAAAATAAGTATGTGTTTAGACTGACTGGTTGCTTATGTAGTCTACATTCTTAGGCATTCATTGACATTTATTTACTCAACTAACACATGAGCCTCGTTAACTAAATTCTAAACAATTTATAATTATAAATTTACCAAATAAATTGCAACAAATTAAGTAAAAAATAAGAAAAAGACATTAAATGATAGACATTATAACAAAAATAAATATTTGAGAAAATGTTGAATTTTAACATGTTAAGGTTAAGTAGTAAGAATAAAAACTAATTATTGGTTTTTTTTAATACGTCAGAGTACAGTTTGAAATGTAATTCTGTATAATTTCTACTTCTGATGTTCATTGGCATGTCCAATCTTGATCTTCAAAAACAAAAAGTAATGTTAACTTTTACAAAATAGATCTTTATATACTCATCTTTAGGAAATTAACAGTTTCTATAGAGCAAGTAATAGTCAGGATGAAAACATTTTATTAACACAAAGAAGTACTACAGATGAATCTTTGTAAAATTGTTTACAAACCTATATTGTTTAGTATTTAAAAGGTTGGCAAAACGTGAATTACCTCTAAGGTAGAGTGTTTTTTTCCATTGAAAATTGCAATGATTTCCATTTTGGATTTGATTTACACAGTAACTTCAAGGCCTTCTCAGACTCAATATTGGATCATAGCATTGGGTTAGGAGTTTTCTCTTCTGGGTTTCATCTGTCGTGTCCTGAAAAAGGAAATATTACTTTAATGAAGAGAATTTGGACTTAAAATAACAAACATATACACCAACCATTGTGATGACTTAATGGTGAAATATTTTTTTGTCAAATACTCAGTAGTCATATTCTGGTTCTAAAAAAGGAAATATTACTTTAATGAAGAGAATTTGGACTTAAAATAACAAACATATACACCAACCATTGTGATGACTTAATGGTGAAATATTTTTTTGTCAAATACACAGTAGTCATATTCTGGTTCTAAATATCTAACAACCACTAAACAGCACTGTAGACTGTATATAATACCGATTAAAACAGGTCTTCACTAATCTTAAATACCCCCGCCGCAGCAAACCTGCAGACTAAGCGAATTTCCATTTGACTGATTTGATTTACACTGAAATGTCTACTTAAAAATATAACATTTATTCCCAATTTAAATAGAATTAGTTTAACAAGTACTTATGTTTGCTGCATCAGGGAGGGTAAAACTGTTTTTTTGTAAAATGTTAATAGTTAGTAAGAAATAAAAACGTTTTCCAAATTTGATCAAAATATGTTCATAAATAAGCAAACTTCAACAGTTTACTTATTCTCCATAAGAATAACATGGGAATTTTAAATTTACAATTTTTTTGAATTTTCTCCGTAATCATTAGGCGCATAATAACGCTTCAATATACTAAATGATTTGTTTTTTTAACAAATGGTTTGGAAAGAAATTGTTAAATTTTATGTTTTTTTGGTCAAAAATGGGAAAAACCTATTTTTACCCCATAAAACCCCCCGTAAACCCCCGTTCCCATGGTCCGATCATGCTGGATCGCGAACTCGTTCGAATAAACGTAGGTTTACACGTTTGTACCAAATTTCATCAAAATCGGATCATTTTTGCTCGAGTTATCGTGCTAACGGACACACATATATATATATATATATCCTACTAATATTATAAATGAGAAAGTTTGGATGTATGGATGTATGGATGTATGTTTGTGACAAGTGAACGCGAAAAATACTGGTCGGATTGGGCTGAAATTTGGCATGATGATAGCTCACATTCCCGATTAACATATAGGCATATTCTTATTTCAAAAATCCTTTCGGGCTCCACCCCAGTGGCTCTGGAGTTTCCCATGTTAACCTTATGAGAAATGAAATTATTGAATCTTAACAGCTGTTTCAATTAAACAAGTTGGTTCTGTTCTGTGATGTTCAATAGCATTAAAGTTACAAAAATTACCAACAGGGTGCAGCACTATTATTTCTTTTACATTTATGACAACGCTAATTTGCAACCAAAAGGTGAGTGAGCGTAGCGAACGAACTTCAACCTGGAGGCGAGTTAGCGTAGCGAACGAGCTAACCTGAAGGCAAGTGAGCGCAGCGAACGAGCTCCAACCTAAAGGTGAGTGAGCGTAGCGAACGAGCTCCAACCTAAAGGTGAGTGAGCGTAGCGAACGAGCTCCAACCTAAAGGTGAGTGAGCGTAGCGAACAAACTTCAACCAGGACGTGATTGAGCCATGCGAACGAGATAATCTTGAAAATTAAGAAGTTAAACGGGGCAAAGCCCGCGGGTTACAGCTAGTATAAATATATATATAAATATATATATATATATGAATTTGAACAGATGGTGTTTTTGGCCTCTAGGGACCTCAAAACGAAAAAAAAATCGGTCCCGCGTCCAGGTCTTACCATGAGTACTACGGTAATAGCTTATTCCCTATATGGGAAATTCGCTAAAACAAACTTGTCCACTGTAATTAAAAACATATATAATTTTTCAAAAATATTGAGGAAAACAGCGAATTTTCATACAAAATACAAATAAAAAGTTACAGGCCTGCATGTTGATTTATCTATCTATCTAATATATAAAATTCTCGTGTCACAGTGTTTGTCTGCAAACTCCTCCGGAACGACTTCACCGATCGTTATGAAATTTGGTGTGTAAATTCTGTAGGTATGCGAATCGGACGTAAACTATTTCCCGTTTCGAAATTCTTAAAAGGGCTCCGCCCCAGTGGCTCTGGAGTTTCCCATGTTAACCTTATGAGAAATGGAATTAATGAATCTTACCAGCTTGTGACCATTTTATATTTTATAAAACTATTTCAAAAAAAATTTCACATTTCAGCTCTTCAATATTTCAGTTTAAAAGGAAGTGAATTTCCGAGCATCTATTGTCTACAGTTGGACTGTGTACTCAACCATCCTTATCTCTACATTCCATTCCTGAATTCCTAAAATTTCCTGTCTGCCAACTTGAACTAACCATTACAGAGCGTCACTTGGGAATTGACTACTGCTGAAGCAGGATTTAATGTGTTCTATGTGGAGTTAAATAATTTTTGTAGCCTTTTGTTGGGATATTAAAACTCAAGAATACATACCTATTTCTCAAGTGAAAATGAAATGTTAACTACCTGTAAATATGTGCAAATAAGGAAATTTTGTCTATTTATGATTAATGTATTTAAGGAATTTTTATCTGTGAAAAACTTATCTTCAAAAGCCCATAGGGTGAGTACATTTGTCTATGCTTAATTTAATTTCATTTCAAACTGTATTACTATGAAGGAAACCTGATGAAAAAAATCCATTCTCTTGTAAATATTGGGAAAAATGTATTGTGTTTTAAATAATCAATTTTTATCCAGAAAGTAATACCATTCAACTCAGGATTTCACATGTGTTATCTCAAAACTTTTCCTGCAAGTCTTATGTAACTAAATATTGAATCTTATGGTAATTTTTTGAATATTTTATCCTCTCATTACAGGTAATAGTTGTTTGTATAAATTAATTGTTTCACCTTCTTTAATTTGTAAAGGTATTGACATGTTAGCTTTGTAGTAAAGAAATAATTTCTTAATTGCAATCGTTTACCGTTGCAGTAATGGTAATGCCAATGATTTATGGAAATTAAAGTTACATGATAAATTTGTTCAGTTTTGTGATTAATCAGTTATTATTATGTGAATCTCACTGTATAACCTTGCAAATAGAATTTTTATTTCATATACAAAGATTATTATTAATGTTGATTTATGAGTACAATAATTGAGATATTTTACTACAGTAGTATATGATTGCTGAAGGAAAGGTACTTATTGAATTTGTCATATTAACTCTTTTAATTTGTTCTACTTACAAATAATTAATATTATTAATGATGTTGCAATTTAATGTTTGATGAATTACCAAGGTAAATTTATATTGTTTCTGTTCCATACACATTGTATATGTAAATGAATATTTCAGGATTCACAGAACTATACTTTTATGACACTGTTTAATGCTAGGTATACTACATTTTCAGGCTTTTTTGAGTATACCCTGTTGAGATTATCACTTATTGAGGAAACTTCTAGAAGGTTGTAATTTGAGACCAACAATAATCTACCTGGACCTTAGGATATATTATTGATAACTTATGTGGTGACTACGCTTCAACACTTAAGGTCAGACACTTATGTTTTTCCAATTTTCTTGTGCTGTGATTCTCTGGGACAGTTTTTCCAGCTGAGTAACCGATCATCGAACCTACGAACTGTGTCGTGCTACTGCACAGTTATTTAATGGCTTTAAGCCTAAGTAATTCTTAACTTTTATTCTTAACTTGTTCTATATTGGTGTATTGTGTATATATAATAATTATTTGTTCTCTTATCTACTTAAAACAAAAAAAAGGGTTTCTTGTTTTCACCTTAACCTTTAAAAAAAACAAGTGGCGCTTTTTCCTGACCTAGTCTTAGAAATTCAACTCCTAACCTAACCCACTCACCCACTGAGTATAGCTGAGGTATAAATATAATTTTGGAAGGTAACAATAAAATGGCGCGGCCAACGTGGTAGGCCTAGGTTGGATTTCTACTCAAGGTTTTATGGACTTTATTTTTTTAAGAATTTGAAGAATTTTTATCGATACAGTCAACTTATACAAAACTCTTGATTGAACTTGGAGATTTTAGGGCACACATTATCGAAGTTTTGTTACAATTTGTTGTGTCTACACTTAGAAGAACATCAAACTTATATGAACCCTGATTATTATTGAACTTATTTGAATATTTTGGTCCAGTTTTTGTAGCTTGAAGAAATATTGTACAGTTCTTTGTAGAGGTTATTTGTTGTTTATCACCTCTAAAATTGTTGATTATTGATTGTTTCGTACATTGTACCTTGAATAATTTGTTGCTTTGAATTTATTCTGAATCTTTGGGTTTATCTTTGAATATTAGCCTTGAAACTTTGAATTTAGTTTGCGGGAAAATGATGTACAAGTCGTCACACATTAACCATCTGGACAGGAATGAACTTGAACATGAGTTAGATGTTCGGAGCTTTAAGGACTATTCCTCGATTAGGATGGAAGATTTAAGGAAGAAGTTGAGAAAGTTTTTGAGGCAAGAACAGTCTGGGTCAATACCAATACCTATTGCGTACGATGACGAAAATGAGGTTGACATCTGCAAAGATAAAATAAGTAAACTCTTGGAAATGTTTAATCTCGTCGTTTTACCTTTGGAAACCACTGACGTACCAAAATTGAAGCGGAGAGTGGAAGCATTGATCTTTCATACTTATCAGAGAATTGGAAGATTAGGTGGCCGTTATGAAGCTGATAGACAAAAACTTGGTCAAGAAATAAAAGATATCGTGAGACGCTATGAGAAACTGATTGGTCAATCACTCCGTGATATGAATGGTGACTCTGATAAGATGGATTCTCCCAGCGACAGTGAAGATAAGGAACTTAGGGACCAAAATAAATTAGATGAATCTACAAAAACAGTTAATGCTCGACCTTCTACTTCGTCTAGTGAAGAACATGGGGCAGGTCTCCCTAAGCAACTAGCATCAAAAGTAATAAGGCCAAATGAGAGAAGAAATAAAGACTTTCTGGATGACTTGAAGATGAGAAGAAAGAAGATGGACCAGCTGATTTTGTCAGATTCTGAGACCTGCGCTGAAGAGGATGTAGATGGGAAGCTG